AGAGTGTTGGGGATGTGCTTGAGAAGAAAAGCAGAGAAGTTAAGTATCATCACTCTTTGGAAAAACATACTCTAAATCGAATATTGATTCTTCCCTAGTTCAGTTTAACTGATGTAACACAAGTAATACATTGGCTATACCTACACAACAGCTTTGTTGACTCCCAAATTCTGTATCTTCTATCGTCTTGCACTGATTGATAAAAGTCTTTACTTTCTATAAAACTTCAATGTCGAACTCAGTTTCTGACCCTCCTAAACAGCACCATGCAATAGGCACTGGAACTCAGTCATCTCTGCTGTTAAACCATTTGAGAAGTCCCTTATTACGAGCTATCTCTTAAACAATTCCTCGGCACAGTTCAGGAGACAGATAGGACCCATTGTACACAAAATCTTCATGCTGTTTCAAGCAGACAACTTTGGCTCCCTACCTTGACCTGACTGTGGATCCTGAAGTAGAAGGTTTCGTTCCACACCGGATTGTTGGAGTTTCTCACAGTTTTAGTGCGGGACTTTTCACATGTCGCCGTCGGCAGCCACAATGACACGTAGCAATCAGCCTGGGTTACTGGGTTAGGAAAGAGACAAACCAATTGTTTATGTGGCAAAGTCAGTGGTGCTGTATGACACCAGAGAGGTTACTGCGTGGTACCAACAGCAAGTGTGAGTTATTTAAAGGCAGAAATGCCTGATGTAATGTGACTCTTTTCAAGATATCCTTCTGAGAAGGAGAAAGCACAGACCATAAGACGGCCAAGAACAGGAGGTGGTTTCTGTTCTTCCTTGCATGAGCTACAGCCAACAGTGATGTTGTGTGTAAAGCAAGAGGGTGAGGATTTCCTCTTCTAGTCAGCCACTTTCTTCAGTTTCTCGACAGACAAGTTTTTCTGTGCTCATGCGTGCATGCACACACATACTAACCTTCAGCTGCTTTCTGATCAGAGGGGCCTGGGAGCCTCCTCCACCTTTTGAGAACAACTGCAAAATGTGTCCATCTCTGCCTTGCCTTCAGTGGTTGTCTTGGTGAGGGTTTCTGAAGTAGCTGCAGAACTACCCCTGTTGTAGGAGAGTGCAGAGGCTCCCTCCAGAAGGAGCTTGTTGAATTAGACATTGGATGTTAACTAATTGCGACCTCCAGGAAGAGAGGGACCAAGACTGTCTCCATAAATGCACGAGGAGAAGGCTAGTGAAGGACATTTTATCCCACTTCTCGAAGGCACCTAAATTATAGTACATCTCAAATGGCTACAGCCAAACATCTGATGCCAAAACATACAGTCAAACTGTGTGCCAACGGAATGCAACATTTCTTCATGCAGGTTATGTGAAATACTTCAGCACCTTGAAACTGTCTCCCACACAGTTCTTAACAATAAAATGATCAGATATCACGTAAAGCAAGAGGTAACTGACTTTGAGAATGGATGTTCTTTGACATGAGACTTTTGAAGGAGACAAGTGATGACTGCAGTAAATGGAAAGGACCCTTCAGCAGCAGGTAAGGACTCTGCAGGTAGATTGAGGGAACAGAATTTGAACATCCACTTCTGGGGAAAGGCAAAAATTCACCCAGCTGCAACAGAAGGTTTTTCTTGTCTTCTTTTATTTCCTTCTCCACCAGGTTTTGGCAGACGTTGCCCTACAGCCATTGGCTCTGTCTCAATCTGGCTGGAGGCTGCATTTTATGTTGTTGAAAGTGTATTTGTTCAAAAAAGCTTGCCGCTTTCCTGTCCAAGTCACAATGAAGAAGTGAAATTCAGAACTGCTTGAGAAATTACATAATGCATTGTGATACATCAACTGACATTTTAATTATTTTTTTTCTACTTTTTAATGTTATAATGCAGAAATGGAAAAATATTTTTAATTCTGCCAAATATTTCCTTACAAAACTGTGGAGAAATCAACACATCCCTGCAGAATCAAAAAAACAATATTCCTCTGATGGAAAAAATTGTTTGGAAAATATCTAGCAGGCCCAAGCCCTCTTCCTCTCCCGCTCTTTTCCACCTTTCATATCTCATCTTGGATGAAAAAAAAATAAAAATTCAGATTCTGACAGCAGTTTAACTGTCCTTGCCTGGTCTTATCTTCTGCTTTAACTCACTTCTACTTTCCCATCACTCTTCTCTCTTAGCTTTCTTCCCCATACTTTCTTCCTGTGTTAGTTGAGTGGAAATTTCACCTCCAGCATTCAGGTTTCCTCCTTTCCTTCCCTTCCCTTCCCTTTTCTTAAGGAACAAAATCCCAAAGGGAAAGAAAAGGGCTGCAGTGGGCTGCCTTCCTGCTCCGCGTTCAAGCCCACAGGTGGAAACAACAAAAATTACCCCCACAGCATTTGTTTCCCCCACACGGATGGCACGATGGGCTTTGCGGACTCATGACTGAGAACCATGATTCCCAGGGATGTCTGTTTCACTTCAGACATTTTGGTTGCATACTATATCCCTTTGCTTCCCACTCTCCTTAAACTCGTTCCCGCTTTGCGTTAAGGTCTGGGAGACATACCCAGGTCTTTACCATCCCCATGTGTACAGATAAACATTGAGCAGCATCAAGAGCCTCATTAATAAAAGACGCAGAGACACTGCAGCACATAAGTGATTCATGTTGCAGCAGCTTGCCAGGAGACTCACTGCTAAAACTGAAAACATTGGCTGCTCATACTAAATGTCTTTCTAGTAAAGATAGGTCTAGTCAGCCTGGCCAGTCTGGCTGCCTTACACATCTTGCCTTGATTAGGTACATCAGTATCTCTCTGAAGGAGGAACAAAGCATCTCATCTGCACCTTTTCCTTGCGAAGGAAGTTGCTTGTCTTTATTTCGTTTATAGACAGATTTGATTTAAGAACTAGATTTCATGCTGCCCTCATTCTCTCTTTAGACACTGCTTTTAATTGCCTACTACTTGTCAGATTCCAGCATAAGTCTCCAGGAATCTTGTCTGTCTTGGATCAGGCTTTTTGGGAAAGTCTCATCTGGAAGAGTTTATCTTTTTTCCAATTATGAGATAGAAGAAAAAACATAAAGCTTGTTCATGTTAAAAACAAAAAAAAATCTTAATCATTCCATTGGCAGGTAATAGCACTTTTACACCTTGCTACAGAGTAGAAGAAACAAGCTAATTCTAGGGCAGAACTGCAACTGAGCCACCTTCCGCCATTTTGGCAATGCCAGAGTAGGGATCTCCCGAACCAGAGTTTGCATTGGGAATATTGTGTTTAATAACCCTTGCTAGACTTTTGCTACATGAATAATTTCTTTTTGAACAGATGCATTTTAACATCCATACATTCCTGTGACAATGAGTTCCACAGTTTACTTGTATATTGCTTTTATTTGTTTTAAGCTTCCTGTTTGATCATTTTATTGGGTGCTCCTTTATTCTCACATTGTGGAAAATAGCAAAAAATTACTCCTTATTTACCTCCTCTTTCCTGTTCTTTTTTGTACAGCCATCTTCCATGTCCTTCTCAATAATTTCCCTTCCACTCTTCAG